GGGATAGGCTAACACTAACATCATCAAAACAGATGAGCCGTGTCCTTCAGTTTAGAAAGCTGACTTCCCCTGCAGTTTCACATTCTGCTCTCTAGCTGGGGGCCAGGTTTCTCTTCACCCTGCCACTCACCTGAGCCTCCCTCCGTGGCTGCTGACCTTTTTCTTTTCTTTCGCTGGGTTTATTGCCCTTCTTGCTGCCTTCTCCACGTTGCTATTTGAAGATGATTGTGGATGGAGACCAGAAAATTTTACATCAGCACTTTGTGTATATCGGAGAAAGAAAATTGAGAAAGGGAAGATGGCGCCAGGCGTCTGTCTGTTTCACCCTCAGCCAGGACAGCAGCCTCTTCCACTTGCCTCCTCCGACCTGCAGTCTGAATTCCATTCCTAGGACAGTGCTTGCCCCAGGGAGGAGACCTCCTTCTAGAGCATTCAATGAAACCGCAAGTGTACTGGTGTCCACAGTCAGCAGAACCTCTCACGACCATTGATCATATGCCTGGGGTCCTCTTATCTGTCAAACAGGAAGGGTGCTGTGGAGCTGCACCAGCCGGTGCGTAGCCTCAACAGCCTAGAGTGCTGCCTCGGGAATAGAGGGTCTTGGAAAAAGTGAGGTGTGGTTCCTCTACAGTGACACAGCTAGTCGGAGGCAAAACCGAGGCTCTTTTCTACTTGTGTTAATCTCTTTTTTTTTTTTTCCTGTAATGTGTATGATTGAAGGATTGAGAGGAATACCCTGCACCTTTTTCAAAGGGAAAATAAACTGTTCAAGTATCCACTCTTAAGGGAGAGGGGAGTGTGGTGTTGGACACCAGCATTTCCTTACAAGAAAATTGCCCTGCTAGCACAGGTGTGAGAAGACAACACCTCCCAGGGCATGCAGTCAGTGCCGTCACCTGCCTTAACTCCCCAAGGTGCCCTCCTTGCATTTAGCTTTCTCTCCCACATTGACCTTCTCTGGAGAATAAAAGTTATGAAGAGTGAGGAAGTGCATGTGATTTGTACTGGGTCCCTGGATCCACACCCTCCTTCCCATCCCTGTTCCTCCAGGCTGGCTCCACTGTGGCCTAAATAAACAGAGGGTGGGGGGCCGATGAAGAAACCCAGAGAAGACCTGACTGCAGTCTGTGGTGTGGGCTGGCCTGGGTACAAGTCAGTGGAGGCACATTCCATCAGTTGAGCATAATAACTTCTGCAAGTGATACAGATTGTAGCCTTGTAGCCTAAGTTCTACAAAACTTCTTTAGAATGTTTTCTTTCTAAGCATGCTCAGCAAAGGCAGTTTACTATTAGTAATATGAATCACAGACCAGTCACAATGTTGTTGTGTTTTCAATATTCCCTATTTTCTTACACTAAGTCTCTGACCAGTATCAAACAAAACAAAACAGAAACAACTTCAGTTTGTATCATCCTCACCTAAATGAGTAAGTCTATGAAAAATGGCTGTTTCCATTTTAGCTTCTTTGGACACTTTGGAGCAGTTTTGGTTTTCGACTCTAGTCCTTCCCTTCCATAGAGCAGCCTTGTTAAAAGACTATTTTAGATCCCTGATTCTGGCTGCTGGTGAGAGCTACCAAGGGAAGCAGCCATCCCTCGGTGTCTGTCCCACCTGCAGGCCTAGACAGTGGCCTCCTCCACCTGCCTTCTCCAACCTGAAGTCTGCATTCCATTTCTAACACAAGGCCTGCCCCAGGGAGGGGAACCTCCTTCCAGAGCATTCTTCCCTACAGTTCCTGATGGCTGTGTTCTGAGGTAAAGTAAGGCTTGTACTCCATCTTCTTTTTTTTTTTTTTTTTTTTGAGATGGAGTTTCACTCTTGTTACCCAGGCTGGAGTGCAATGGCGCGATCTCGGCTCACCGCAACCGCCGCCTCCTGGGTTCAGGCAATTCTCCTGCCTCAGCCTCCTGAGTAGCTGGGATTACAGGCACGCGCCACCATGCCCAGCTAATTTATGTATTTTTAGTAGAGACGGGGTTTCACTGTGTTGACCAGGATGGTCTCGATCTCTTGACCTCATGATCCACCCGCCTCAGCCTCCCAAAGTGCTGGGATTACAGGCGTGAGCCACCGCGCCCGGGCTGTACTCCATCCTCTTTGCCAAGTATCTGTTTATCACTAAGCAAGGCAATTGGATGTTTTAAATGACCACTAACCAAATTCCCATGCAGTCCACATCATCCGGTTAATCGTTTTGAGCAGGCCGGGCATGGACAAGCCCTTGAAGGCGGTCAACACCTTCAATGAGGATAAATATCAGCATGCCCTTTTGCACCGAATGTGTGACACTGACCTTCAAGGATATGAGCTCTGCCAGGGTAGGAATTTTCACCTGCTTTTTCTCCAATCTATCCCCTAGATACACCTAGAATGCTACCAGAACAGTACCCAGATGAGTGCCAGGGACATAGTAGTATTCAAGAAATGATTATTACTTTTTCTTTTTTGCAATTTATTTAAATTTTATTGTATATATTTAAGGTGTGCAACATGACATTTTGATGTACACAGTGAAACGGTTACTATAGTCAAGCAAATTCACGTATCCAGCATCTCATATCATTACGCATTTTTTTTGTATGTGAGGCAAGAGCAACTAAAATCTACTCTTTTTTTTTTTTTTTTTTTGAGACAGAGTCTTGCTTCATCACCAAGGCTGGAGTGCAGTGGGGCGATCATGGCTCACTGCAACTTCCATTTTCCTATTTCAAGCAATTCTCCTGCCTCAGCCTCCCAAGTAGCTGGGACAACAGGCATGCACCACCATGCCCAGCTAATTTTTTGTGCTTTTAATACAGACGAGGTTTCACCATTTTGGCCAGGATGGTCTTGATCTCTTGACCTCGTGATCTGCCTGCCTCTGCCTTCCAAAGTGCTGGGATTACAGGCGTGAGCCGCTAAAATCTACTCTTTTAGCAAAAATCCCCAATATAATCCAATACTATTAGCTGTAGTCTTCATGCTATACATTAGATCTCTAGACTTGTTCATTCTACATGTCTGCTGCTTTGTGTATTTTGACCTTAATCTCCCTATTTCCTTCCTCCACCTGCTCTTGTAGTTACTGTTTTATTCTCTATTTTCGTATATTCAACTTAAAAATATTTCATATGTGAGATCACATAATATTTCTCTCTGTGTTTGATTATTTCACTTAGCATAATGTCCTCCAGGTTCGTCCATGTTTTTACAAATGGCATGATCTCATTCTTTTTTAAGGCTGAATAGTATTCCATTGTGTATATGTACTATAGTTTCTTTAGCCATTCATCTGTCAGCAGACACTTTGATTATCTTTGCATTGCAAATAAGGCTGCAATGAATATGGGGATGAATATATTTTCTTCTCTTTCAGGTATTTACCCAGAAAAGGGATTGCTGGCTCATCTGGTAGTCCTATTTATTATTTCTTTAGGAACCTCCACACTGTTTTCCACAGTGGCTACACTAATCTACATTATTACCTACATTCTCCCCAACAATGTAATAAGGTTCCCTTTTCTCCCCACCCTCACAAACACTTGTTATCGCTTGGCTTTTTGATAATAGCTGCTCTAACAGTTGTGAAGTGAGACCTCATTGTGGTTTTGATTTGTATTTCCATAAGATTAGTGATGATGAACATCTTTTCATATGCCTGTAGTCATCTGTATTTCTTCTTTGGAGAAATGTATATTTAGGTCTATTTTTTGATCAAGTTATTTATTTTTCTGATGTTGAGTTATATGAGTTCTTTATACATTTTATATATTAACTTCATATCAAATACATGGTTTGCAAATATTTTCTCCCAATTTATAGGCTGACTTTTTATCTTCTTGATTATTTTCTTTGCTGTGCCAAAGATTTTTAGTTTGATGGTGTAGTCCTGTTTGCTTATTTTTGCTTTTATAGCCTGAGCTTTTGGTGTGATACTCAAAAAATCTTTGCCAAAGTGAATGTCAAGGAGCTTTTTCCCTGTATTTCTTCTGGGAGATTTTCAGTTTCAGGGCTTACCTCTGGGCCTTTTATCCAATTTGAGTTTATTTTTGTGTATGTGTAAGACAAGGTTCAATTTGATTCCTTTGCATGTGGAAATCCAGTTTTCCCAGCCCGTTTGTTTCCACATGGGAAATTCTATCCTCATTGTATTCTCCTGGAGGCCATGTCAAAAGTTAATTAACCATATATGCTTGGGTTTATTGCTGGGCTCTCTATTCTGCTCCACTCATCTATGTGCCTGTTTTTATACCAGCACTTTTTTGATTACTGTAACTGTATAATTTTAAGTAAAGTAGTGTGGTGCCCCAACTATGTTTTTTCTTTCTCAAAATTGCTTTGATGATTCAGGGTCTTTGTGGTTCCATACAAATTTTAGAACTGTTTTTTCTATTTCTTTGAAGAATGCCTTTGGAATTTTGATAAAGATTTCAATCTGTAGATTGCTTTGGGTAGTATGGACATTTAAAGAATATTAATTCTTCCAGGCCAGGTGTGGTGGCTCATGCCTGTAATCCCAGCACTTTGGGAGGCCCAGGTGGGTGGATCACTTGAGGTAAGGAGTTCAAGACCAGCCTGGCCAACATGGTGAAACCCCGTCTTTACAAAAAATAAAAAAAATTATCCGGGCATGGTGGCACGCACCTGTAGTCCCAGCTACTCGGGAGGCTGAGGCAGGAGAATTGCTTGAACCCAGGAGGTGGAGATTGCAGTAAGCCGAGATTGTGCCACTGCACTCCAGCCTGGCTCCTGGTGACACAGCAAGACTCTGTCTCAAAAAAAAAAAAAAAAAAAAAAAAAAAAAAAAGATAGGACTGTTTTCCTTTTTGGAGAAGTCATTATTTGTGTATAGAAATGCAACTGATTTTTATATGTTAATTTTGTATCCTGCAAAGTTACTTGATTCATTTATTAGTGCTAAGAGTTTTTTCTGGAGTCTTGGGATTTTCTACATACAGGGTCATGTATTCTGCAAATATAAATTATTTTGGTTCCTTCTTTCTGATTTGTGTCTTTTGTTTCTTTTTCTTGCCTAATTGCTTAGGTGAGTATGTCTAGTACTATGTTGAATAGAAATTACTAGAGTGGGCAGCCTTGTCTTGTACTGGAACTTAGAGAAGCTTTCCATTTTTCCCATTGATTGTAATGTTAGCTGTGAGTTTTTCATTAATGGCCTTTATTTGGGTATCAGACCGGTACCCAAATGAGTTCTAGGGCCACAGTATATACTTAAGAAATTTTTAAAAATTGAGCTAAACTTTCCTTCTGGTGAAATGCACTGATCATAAGTATACTATTCAAAAAATTTTGAACAAATGTATACCCCTATGTTACCAGTGCCCTTGTATATGGAACATTTCCATTATCCCAGAAAGTTCCTGAAGACTATCATCACCCCTGAGGCTGCTATGCTGGAACGTAAGAAGAAAGTTAGTTTTCACTGGAGCATGAATCTCATTGAAATGAATCTGAGAGAAAAATTGTAAAATCTAAATCAAAAAAAGGTTGGGGGGAGTCACACAAAGCTAAGAGCTCCAAGTTGTTCTTGTCCTAATCTTATCTGCCTCCTACCCAGAATCCCACTGAGGTATATCTTGGACCGTTCTGCAGTAAAACCTGGTTGCTTTTCTGAAGCTTTCCAGAATTTCTGTCTAGTGAACAGATGGCATTGTTTTCATACAAAGAGCAAAAGAATTTCATGTATTCAAACACCAAAAACTTGGAAAAACACAGAGAGCATGAGTGGTTATTATAATAGGGGAAAGAACATGGTATGTCAGCAGAGAGCTAGACTCTGTCCAAAGAAAGAATCCATTTGAGTCCTTGGTCGGTCATCTGGACTCTGCAGGGGAGTGTCAAAGTTGAGGACTGATGTGCTACACAAAGATGTGCACTGATGTGCTAAAACAGGTGCAGGCCTGGCTAGGGTTTCATTTACAAGGATGACTGAATTGTTCTTTCTATATACAAAGTTCCTATTCTATGATTGCCCTTGAAAAAATGTCCAGTCCCTGCCTCCAGGGCTTGCAGCATGATGGTGGAGACAGACTTATAATAGAGCCACATAGAATATGAGAACAAAGTGTAGGGGCTCCTAACTCAGCCTGCAGGAATCAGAGGAGGCTCCTGGGAAGGTGATGCCTGAGTGAGGCTTATGAGGTGGCTGGAAGCTGGCCAGGGGAGGGGTAGTAATGAGGTAACGGACAAGATGAAGGCTTTCCAGCCTAAGGGGACAGGGTGAGCAAGGGCATGGAGGCCCCAGGAGCAGGGTGAGTTCAGGGAGGTCATACAAGCAGTTTCCCGTGGCTGGATAGGACAGGGAGTAGCAAAACGTGAGGCCAGAGATGCAAGCTAGGTGTTCGAAAATATCTGAATATAGGGAAATATCTGAGCACATCATTATACAAGTTCATGCAAATCACTTGCAAAACAAGATGTATCCTGTCAATAAACCTATTCATAAGGTTGAGAGGGTGGACACATTGGTAGTGGAACTTCACTGCCAAGATCAACGGTTTGCATGCAGGAAGAATTATTTATGCATTTATTTAATCTAATCACATATATACAGCATGTGCTAAATACCAGGCACTACAGGCCCCATGATAAATTCTATATTCCTAACACAATGACTAGCACTTAGCAACTCTGTCCAAAGTGAGCATGCCATAGCTGATTGTTGAAGGAATAAATGAATGAGCAATTTGTGCTTTTGCCCAAAGAGTTTACAGTCTAGTGGGAGAATCAGAGAGGTAAGCAAATTATAATCTATCAAATTATCATACTTAGGATAGGGCTGGGAATTCATCCTAAAAACGCCTGCAAGTGCCAGGCAAGCAGAGTAATGAAGTAGAAAACATCTCCAGGTGTAAGACAATAGGGAACAGTGGAGAACACTGCAAGTGGTGAGTATGAGCCCATTCTACAGGGGAACATCTGCTACTCAATTCCAAATCGATTAGGATCAAAAGGAGCAAGAAATGTGTATTTTAGTCAAAGGAAATGTTATTTTCTAAATTGGTTTGCTCCCAGATGCTCAGGATTCCAGTAGAATTAGCCTGGTACCTACATGGAGGTAATGGCACAAAGGAGGCAGTGGTTAGTAAGAGAGAGGCCTGACAAACTTCATTTCTGGATGGACATGGTATGGGATTCAGTGGCTTCCATAATCAGAGGGGGACACCACAGCCCTCAGTGCTAAGAGGGTAAACCGTGTCAGGTGCTGCCAGCATCCAAGACCCCTGCTCCTTGGTAGCCCTTCGGGCTCCTGTGCACCTAATGAGGCCCTAACTTTAAGTCAGTCTCTGACCTTCTTAGGTCTGGCCCAGGCTCCAGAGCAGCTCCTCCCCCAAACTGCCACAGGATCTGTGTGGCAGTGGCTAATTCCCTGGCCATGGGGATCTGTTTGGGGCTGTTTGTTTTGCAGAAGAAAACAGAAGGCTTTAGTGTATCGGAATCCTGCCCCTCCTCCTGCACCAGTGCCTCCCCCACCACATGAAAGCTGCTGAGCAAACAGAGAAATCAAAGATGATTATACGCTGCTGGAAACCCGTGTGCTTCCGCCTGGCTGCGTCTCCCTGCCAAACTGTTATGTAAGCCACAGCCCCACTTAGGCCTGGAATCAAACAGAGATGCCATTGAGAGCCCTCCCTTGACCCACTCATCACCTGCAGCCTGGCTCAAACCATGTCTCACCTGGAGTAGACCTACCCAGGGAGGGCCATGCACGATGTGTAGCTGGCAGGTGGCTTTTCCATTTGTTTTGGGATTTCCCTCTCTCCTTTCCCATCCAGCACAGAGGTATGGGTGGGTCAGGACCAGGCATTTACTTTGGTTAGATTCCAAATGACTAAGATATTTTATAATGGAAAACTCCATTTGACAATCCCAGGGAGTTGAGTATTTTTCACCCTCATAAGTGAATAATTCACTTTGGCTGTCTAGATACCAGAGCTGAACAAGTAGCTCTGGAGCCTGAGATGACCTCCTCACCAGAAAGGGCCTACCCACACTGCTCTGATGATCAGTACTTACTTCTATTTAGCAATTCTGGGCATCTTCCTCAGCCCCAAACCACCTACATGGACTTATAAGAGCTGTTCCTTAAATGCCTCAGTGACTTGGGTAAATGAGCTGAATTCTCAGGGCTTTAGTTTTTTCTTTCTGCATCGCAGGGTGAGGAATACTCAATGGCTCCACAATAAGTGTGCTAGAAGTTTTAAGTGCTAATATTGGCTTTTGGACACTGTTATAATTACATCTGAAGTGAGATGTCAGGCTCTTTGGTGTTGACAGTGCCCAAGTGTTTATGCTCGTATCTATTCAATGCTGAAATTCATTACTATCTCCCTTTTGCAGCCTTAACTGACTATGCGCCAGTGTGAGGGGCTCAAATCTCAAGTAAAAGAGGTCTGAACTTTGGAGCAGATAACACCTGTACTGGAGCTATATCTTGGTCTTTCAGAGACTATGCGGCCTTGTGCTCTGGCCAAAACTGTGCTAAGTCCCTGGAACCTCCAGGTTTCTCTTAATTTTCCTACATTTAATCAGAAACGCATAAAGATTCCAAGAGGGCCAGTCCTGGCTTTGGAAAATGATTCACCATCTTCCACTTTACACTTGTTCCAGTCTGGAAAGGGTGAATAGGAAACCCTTTGCTGTTCGGTGAGATTGCCCCAGGAATGAGGAGCTGGGCTGGGGTCTCTGGGCCCTTGACTCTTTTCCCATCAATGCTGGGGGCCGGGGCACCTCAGAAGCCAAGACGTCTGCTAGTTGTTGGACTCATTCACTCTTGATGACCAAGGTACTGTATCTAGTCATTGACACAGATATCTCTTCCTGAGAAGATGAATAGCAGGTTCATAGTCCTTGCACAGGCATTTAAAAAATGCACAAACCGAAGAAGAAATTGCGTTGTCTAGATCCCAATCCCTAGCAAGACTAGTCAATAGGTCCCAGTATCCAGACAAGAGAAGGGATTTATGGGAGCACACCATAAGCACATGGCAGGGAAAGAGAACACATTCTAAACGTCCTGAGAACTGGTTTTACCAAGCACCGCGGCCATCATGTTGTGAAAGTAATAAAGCTGCCCTCCCATTGTCTGAATCTGAATAGGGGAACCAGCCTCCAAGTCCAGCCCCCTTCTTCAGGGAAACTTTGCTTCTCACTGTGCTTCAAGATGACCTTTGGCTGCAAACAAAAATGTGAGCCTGCATTTGGTAAAGCCTGGGTCTTTTCATTCTTCCCAGCTCTCCCGGTCCAGAGGGATAAATACCCCTGCTCCTAACACCCAGTGGTCTCTGTGAATGAGCTCATCCAGTCCCTGCTGGCTTTCTGTAGAGTAAGGAAACTCATGTTGACCAGCCTTTCTACATTGTTATGTCTGTCTGTCTGGCTATCTACCTATCTATCTATCTAGACATATAGCTATATATGATTGATATATAATATAAAGCTATATATGTATTAAATTTATAAAGATAATGCTGATGTTGTCGGGGCAGGAGCCTGAGAACTGAGGCTTTTTGCATCCCTTTCTCTCTCTGTCTCCTCCTGAGATCTCCACCTGGAGAAAGGGGATGAGAGCAGAATGAAGTTGAATATCTTGACTAAGGGAGGTGGTTTCTTCATCAGACATGCTCCTCGGAACCTTGATGGTAGTTGGAAGCTGGAGCAGGAAGGTAACAGGGAATAGCAGCCTAGTTAAAGCATGGAGCCTGCCTCAATGCCACCCTCAGCTACTCCACAAATGGGGCACAACTAGAACAGGATGTTTAGGACCAGAGAACATTTTCACATGCCTGCAAACAAACAGAGTAAAATGACTGGTTATCCTATCTGCTGATTTGTGAGATCAGCCCCTTGGAAGCCTTTTCTTCAATCCCAGGCATTATGACTGAATTCAACAACTCTTAAGAGATGGACAGAGGAGCTTGAGTCAGGATCGTGGGGTTCAAATGGCTACAATTCCCAAAGATGTAAATAACAAAGTTTAAAAAGTATGTGATCATTTTTGTCAATTATGTTTTCTCTATAAAATAAAAAAATAAACTTCAGGAATCACTGACCTATGTATCTTAGTATTTAGAGTTACATTAACACGCTGGTATATAATTGTGGAGCTTCCATACTAACGTTAGGCATTAATAATTACTACTCAGTTTAATCTAGGCCATAACGTTATATACAGTAAATTGTTTCCAGAAGTTTCTAAGAATAATTCTGAAATATGCATGTGGCTGTGAAAAATGAGGTTTTGCTTTTTTAATAAAAAATAAACTTTTTTTCTTTTTTCTCATCCCCCAACTTTATTGTTTTACAACAGTTTTAGATTTACAGAAAAATTGCAAGGATAGTACAGAGCTCCATGTACCTCTCCCTCATTTTTTCCTATTGATAATGTCTTACATCTTATAGGACTATGCTACATTAGTTATGATTAACAAACCAATATTGATACATAATTGTTAATTAAAGCCATACCTCAGAGAATGGAGATTTCACAGAAAGTTGGCCTTGAAACTTCCCTGAGGTCTCTAAACTCAGGCCTTTCATGTGGCGGAGAGAAGCCTTTGCCGCCTTTGGAGCCCCATCGCCATTCCGGACTGCCTGCTGCCTTCCCAAGTTCTTTCTGCAAGGGGAAAAATGTTTTCTGGTCAGAAAACTTGGTTATCCATTGTAGAGCCACAATCATGAGTCTTTCTTTTAAGTTGTTCTCAAAAGCATTTTGCAATAACAGTGGAGTGAATTGGCTAAGAGTGGTGATTTTGGAATCAAATAGGTTGAAACCCAGTTCTGTCATGGATAAGCTGTTGTTTTATCAAACTTTATTGTTCTCATCTGTAAAGTGGAAATGATAATAGTGTCTTCCTCATTAATTTGCTATGAGTATTGAATAAAAAGTTTCAGAAGCACCCAGTACCATGCCAGGCATATAATACTAGTTCAATACTGGTAGCTTAAGAGGTGAGCTCTTTTTAAAAAGCAGTTATGACCAACAAGCTAATCAATGAGTAATCTAGACCAGTTTGATGAAAAATAGCTTTTCCAACAAAGATCAGCTTCAAAGAGCAGTAGGGAGAAGAGACATCGTTGTGGAAGCATACATTTAATTGCCTGAAGAATTCTCTTCACATTGGAAAGAACAAGGCAAGTATAGGGACTACTTGTGTGAAACCATGTGAGGAATCCCAGCCTGGGCAACGTGGTGAGACTATCTTTACAAAAAATACAAAATTAGCCAGGCGTGGTGGTGCATGCCCCCAGTCCCAGCTACTCAGGAGGCTGAGGTAGGAGGATTGCTTGAGCCCAGGAGGTCAAGGCTTCAGTGAGCCGTGATGGCATCACTGCACTCCAGCCTGGGTGACAGAGCGAGACCTTGTCTCAGAACAAACAAACAACACATGTGAGGAGGTGCTCACAGGGCTTTTTCTGCTTTCCCATTCTGCTTGAAAGATTAAGGTATCAGTAAAATAAGGTATCAATAAATAAGATATCTCTATTAGAGGCATTATTGAGGGACAAATGATGTCCCAGAGGGAATTAGGAGCATTATGGAGACCTGGCTCCTTCCTTCCCATCCCCACCTCCTCCCTCACCACCTCTTCCAGCTCGCAGTCCCGTAGGCTTACTGCAACACATCCGACAGGCAGGCTCTCTGGACTGGCCAAGCCCTTTCTTGCTCTACTGCCCCCTGGGTGAGCCACCACGCCCACACCTGGCTCTTCATCGAAACTCAGCTCGGCTATCTCCTCCTCTGGAAACCGTTCTCCCGTCACCATCAGTCTGGTCACCACATGCTCCCATAGGCTCCCTCGGCTCAACCAACTTCATCACCCCTCTGCCTCACTCCGTTGGGAGTTCCATAGGTATGCAAGCCTCGCATGGCACCTGGGATGTGATGAGAGCTCACAAAATGTTGCCTCATGCCTATTCTCCGAGCATCTGCAAGCCCAGGGGCTTTTGATGCTTCCCTCAAACGCTGAGGTGGAAACAGTTGGGGAGGCACGTAGATTTGGTGAACGTTGCCTAGCTACGCCTGAAGCATAAAGGAGAAAACTTTAAAGGTTTTCTCTATAAAGCATATGTATAGGATTAAACAGTAACAGATAAATTATTTCATGCAGTGGTTTCCAAGCCCCAGTGCAGGAAACAATGTTGGTCTGTTGTAAAGTTTTCCTAGGTTAATGGGGATTCTCTTCAAAAAATGGCCACTGGTCTTGTGAGGGTATTCAGTGTGGTGGGCAGGGGCTGCTGGCTGAGAATGACCACAGAGAGGGGGCCGCCCTGGAGCCCACTTCCTTCAGCAATCCCAGGAGAAATACTTGGTCTGTCCTAGCCCACCTTCCTAAATATTGTGACCACTATGATAATACAGTGGAGGCAGTAAAAGTAAAGCCATTCCTTTGAGGTCACACAGCTACTAAGTTTTGAAATTAAGATCCAGGCCCATCTATCTGACTCCAGAGCATTTAACCTCTGTATCCCTCAGCATCTGGCATTTTCTCATGTTGTCAGCTTGGTGCCTGGAAGAATACAGTCTACCTGTATGAGGTTGAGCTGACAAACCCAGGTTCATTTTATATGTACATGTATTTCCAGGCTTGATGGCATCGGTGCCCATTTATCATTTAGGAAGCATTTTATCCCACCTAATTGCCTTCCCTCTTCCGATGGGTCCCTCTGGGACTGGGTAGGAAGGCAAGGTTTCAGGGTGGATACAGAAGTATCTTAATACTTTATAATACCTGCTGCATAGTAGACTCCACTCTGCACCTAAGCTTCCAGTAGCATTCTTAGAGGTAGGATTAGTGCCATGGATTAAATAGCTCTGTAAGGGACTCCAGAAGTCTCTAAATAGGTAAATTGGACAAGAGCTTTGTATTTCTTTAAATAGATAAGAAGGGCATTGCTGGAATTTGGTAAATGTTTGTAACATATAAGATTATTTGTTATTATCTTGGTATTTTCTTGACATAAAATTGTCTTATATAAAATCCCTAGTGTAAGACACTCATCATTTTTTGATTAAATTTTTAGCACCTCATGGTTTATAGGGCAGTGCTATACCTGCAGCTGCAGGACAGATTCCTATGCAAAGAGGCCCTGGCAGCTAAGTATTGTCAGGGCGTGACTCCACACACAGCCCTGAGCAGTGCGGGCTGAAGAGCCCCTCAGCTCCATCGCGCCAGCCGGCTGTGTTGAGGAAGGTGCTCCCCGATCCCGCCGAGCAGCTGCACTAGGGGAAGCCGTTGCTATTTCTGTCAGGATGATCATCCCAACTGACAGCATTCCTTCCCTCTAAGGTGGCGAGCTAGCTCAGAGCAACTATGAGCTGATCCAGAAATGAAGACCCATCAAGCAGCCACAGAAACAGACAGAAGCCGAAGGCAGACCCACACCTTCCCTCTGGCTTCTGCTGCTGGGGACCCAGAGTGAGTATAGCTTTGCTGTTGCCTCCCTGGGAGTTTATTCTGTGGTTTTGGCACAACGCGGCAATCTGGGGGAGAAAGCAAAGTCTATGGATATGGTTGCCTTTTCTCCTCTAAGCCAACGAGTGCCTTGTTTTTCTGTGAGCCTGCCACTGTGGGAAAATTGCTCGAGTGTAAAGTTTCCCTCTTTGTCCCGAGCGCACTTCATTTACCAGCGAGCCAAGCTGGGAACAGAGCCGCCTCTCACACAGCTCATGAATGACTCCATTTTCTCAGGGCAGCCTGTGCCTGCCCATTGTCTAACTGTCATGGCCTCTTGTATAGGTGTTCCCTGCAGTCCAGGCTGTTACGTAAGGCCTGGGCAGGGAACACTGCGTGAGGGCAAGAGAGATCAGAGAGAGGAAAAACCCAGAGGGGAACCAAGACCAAAACATCTTCCTGGAGAAGAAGGGGGGGAAGTGCTAGCCATTTGTCAGCTCTTTTCCTCTGGCTTGCTTGCCTGAGTGATAAACTTTGGTTGCTGGCATACGGAGCCCCGTGCTGCTCCAGGAGCACTTCCCTTTACATCTACAGACAGGACATGCTGTTCCTCTATGCCAGGGCAGCGGCACCCAGGTCCTCCCACAGGACTCTGACAGAAAATCTCTTATGGCCTAGGAGCAAAGGACTTTCCCTCGCCCCAGGCTTTCACTTTCTGTTTCTCCTTCTCCTGCTACGTCTTTGTTGGCTCAGGGATCTTCTCAGTTCTGCTCAGAGAAGCACACACCTTCTGAAGGCTCGCCTGTGGCGATTTCCTGGTAGTTCTGACTCTTCATCAGGCTCAGTGTTGAGAGGCAGCCATCACCTGGCATCCACGAACGGCACCCTAACCCCCACAGCTGCATCACCTGGCTGCCACGCTCTAAGCTTATCTGTTCCCCATCATCCCTTTTGACCACACTACCAGCATTGTGAAATGAAGGAAGGTGAATGGGTGCATATCATTCTCTGTCTGCCTTGGCTTCCCCTCAAGCCTGTTCTGTAGAATACTTGCCCTGGGCCAGATGTGGTGGCTCATGCCTGGATTGCCAGCACTTTGGGAGGCTGAGGCAGGTGGATCACCTGAGGTCAGGAGTTCGAGACAAGCCTGGCCAACATACTAAAAATACAAAAATTAGCTGGGCATGGTGACAGGTGCCTGTAATTCCAGCTATTAGGGAGGCTGAGGCTGGAGAATCACTTGAACCCAAGAGGTAGAGGTTGAAGTGTAATGAGATCACGCTATTATACTCCAGCCTGGGGCCTGGGTGACAAGAGCAAAACTCTGTCTCACCCAAAAAAAAAAAAAAAAAAAAAAAGAAAAAGAAAAAGAAAAAAATACCAGCCCTGGAGCCACAAGAAGAGACTTTACAACAAGTGAAATAGGATTCCCCGGGTAGATATCATGGGGGAACGCTATATATTCTCCCCCACTCTTAGAAAGTCACAATGCATATCAGACCCCGAAATGTTTGCAGTAAAGAACAAATATCACTTTGTTGTGACATTTTCCCAACTTACTGGATATCTGGTCTACAAGCTCCATGAAAACAGGGAGCTGGCCTATTGTTCATGGTTGAATATCTACTTCATAGCTCTGTGGGTGTCCACTAAGTGTGTTAAATTGAAGTGAATTTAACTGAATCTTTATTCCAAGTTGTATCTGTTAACCCCACAGAATTAAGGTCCCGCAGAACAAACTTTGGCAAATGCTGGTTGATACCATGCACTAATTCTATCAATTACAGTGATGAGGAGGGAACAGGCACACAGGGAGACACACATGGAAGCTTTTCTGTTCCTCACATAAGAACAGGCTGCAGGAGATTGCTCTGTCCCTAGCTCTTTGAAAGAGCCTGGCCTGCCCATGAGCCACTCCACAGGGAAGAGGGAATGTGCATGTTTCTGGTGCTCACGCAGACCCCTTTCTGACTCGTCCCCTGTCCTCTCGTTTTGCTCGCCTATTCTTTGATCCCTTGGCTTTGGAGTCTGCCACACAGGAGGTTCCTCTGATCTGATGCTTCTCTTTATTATTTAAAAAAAAAATGGCCAGGTGAGGTGGCTTACACCTGTAATCCCAATACTTTGTGAGGCCGAGGTGGGTGACCCACCTGAGGTGAGATCAGCCTGGCCAATGGTGAAACCCTGTCTCTACAAAAAATACAAAAATTAGCTGGCATGGTCACAGGCACCTGTTATCCCAGCTACTTGGGCTGAGGCAGGAGAATCACTTGAACCCAGGAGGTAGAGGTTGCAGTGAGCCGAGATCATGCCATTGTACTCCAGCCTGGACGACAAGAGGGAAACTCTGTCTTAAAAAAAAAAAAAACTCATTAAAAAAACCCAAACAAAACCAGAAATCTTATCTTAGGCTTGCTAACTGTAGCTTAGTTAGGGGTAAGAAAACCCTAGATTTGAATCCAGATTTGGCCATTTTGTGGCAGTGAGATGTTTTAGAAATGTCTTGGGCCTATCAGAACCTCATTCTCCACTGTGTAAAATGAGGATAATAACATGTGCCTCATAGAGTTGTTGTGAGAATTAAATGAGCATGTACGCCTTGCACAGTGGCTGGTATTTGGCCAGCACTCGGCACATGGCTGCCATTACTACAATTGTTCCTTCCTTTTCAGCTCCCCGCATTGCCTGCTGCCTGAGTTTGGGCATCTGCCCAACTCCAGGTGAGCCTCTTTCTCCCTCTGCTGGGTTAGCTCCATGAGACCCAGCTGGGTCTCTGGTTCAGCTTTCCTCTGCCTCTGGGAACTTCTCTCCTCCCTCCTCATCGGTAGCTTCTTGGACTCATCCTTTTTACCACTTTTTAAATCTCTCTTTGGGGCCCCTACAGAAGGAAATAAGCCTTTATTAGCGGAATGTTTTGTAGTTTACAAGATTCTAATATAGCACCTCACTTAATCCTCATCATAATGCCCTGCAGACTGAGTTATCTGTCTACAGAGGAGAAAAAATGTGACTCAGTGACTTCATCACTCACATAGCAATCAAACACCAGACGCTGGATTGGTACGCAGGTCTGACTTCAGATGCAGCATCTCTGTCAGCCCTCACCACGGCTGCCACCTGGGTAACTGTGAAGCATAGCCCTGTCCTCCTGACCCCAGGATCCTGCCACCACCATCCACTTTCTACCTCCACTTAGGATTTGGCACAGCTGTAAAAGAGGCCTGCAGGGAGAGGACATGGGGTGAAAGAAAGAGACAGAGGAGGAACGTGGAGGAAGGGAGACCAACCAATCCTCCAGCCACATGTCCAAGATTCTGGTCCTGCTTCCTGACCCAAGGGTTCTCAGTCCCCATTTCCAGGATAGTAACACATCAAATGCCCACACCTACACCCAGGAACAGCAAACAAAGATAATCAGTGAAACACACAGAAGAAAAATCTGATTAGCATATTTGACAGTATAATATAAGGAACCTGTCACATTGTCAATGGGTAAAACACCTCAGAAACATCTAGGAAGACTTGTTTAGTCCTTGTTCTGTTGAGAAGAATACACACACACACACACACATATACACATCCCTAAGGTACTGAAGTAAATAACAAAGGGATCTTCCCTGTTAGACGTTCTTTATATCCCATCTGAAACAAATGTACAAGACCTAGTGACACATTCTAGGTCATGTAGGGATCTAGGACGCATTTGTCTCTGTAAATCACAGAGCCTGCGGATGTGGGTTCCTGTGAAGGAAAACATGGTCTGGAGCAGTAAGCCGAGGGTAGCACCATGGACAGTCGCTCACCTGTCTTCTGATCATGGAGGCCTGTGCCCTAGAAATGTAGGAAGTAGCAAGGAGAGGAGAGAAAGGAAAGGGGATCTTCTTTTTTTGTAGAAAGAATCTTGCACTCCGAAAAGCAGGGCTGTCTTGCTCTTCTGTGGGGGTAGTGAATACCATTTTTGGAAAATTAGGACTGTGATACATATGTGTAAGAAAGGAATGGTCATCCCTTGCCCTCTGGTCTGGAGGTCCCAGGCATAGCCCGTCATACGCTTCTCTTCCTTCTGGACCACTTTAATTACTGTTTCTTTCTCAGGCACCCTGAATCTCCTGTATTACATTCACTCAGTAGCCTGGAAACAAAGAGTTTAAAACCCTCTAACGTCATTTTTGTCTGCCATCCAAGAGTGCATTGAGAACTTAAGTTTCTACTTTTTCACAGAAGAGGGATTAAATAATTCTTCTGGTCTGAGCCCAGGTCATTAGGGGTGTTCTCACTACATATTCCTGCATAAAAAACCTCTCCAAAAGTGTAGTGGCTTAAAACAGCATTTGTTTCACTCACAAATCTGCAGTTTTGGCAGGGTCTAGAGAACATAGCTCATCTGTGCTCACCTGGCGTCAGCTGGAGCTGCCCTGAAGCTTCATGCCACACATGCAAGTGAATGAGCCTTCAGAAGGCTCCAGCCCCAGCCTTTGACTGTCGGTTCACTGGGAAGATGTAAAAATGAGAGCCAAAATAGCTGGCGCTCACTGGGCCTCTCCCTCTCTCTCCGTGATATCTCTACATGGCCTTTCTAACATGCAGCTTCATACAGTTGGACATCATACAGAGCAGCTTAGTGTTCCCAAGCTGTGGGTTGCCTTTTTTAAAAAAATATATACACGGTTTCACTCTATTATCAAGGCTGCAGTACGGTGGTGCAATCTTGGCTCACTGCAACCTCTGCCTTTCGGGCTCAAGCAAGCCTCCCAAGTGACTGGGACTACAGGCATGTGCCACCATGCCTGGCTAATTTTTGTATGTTTAGTCAAGACAGGGTTTCGCCCTGTTGCCCAGGCTGGTCTCCAACTCCTGGGCTCAAGTGATTCACCTGCCTTGGCCTCCCAAATTGCTGGGATTACAGGCACGAGCCACTGTGCCTGGCCAGGTTGCCTTTTATAACCCATCGTTAGAAGTTACTCAGTATCATTTCCATGACATGATACTCATCGAGGCAGTCACAAGGCCCACCCAGGTGTGAG